GCGTAGTCTTTTAAAAAAAAAAAAAAAAAAAAAAAAAAAAAGGGGGGGGGGGGGGGGGGGGGGGGGGGGGGGGGGGGGGGGGGGGGGGGAATCCCCGTATCTACAGTGGGTGAATTGTATTTTTCAGCGAGCTCGCATATATGAAGTGAATATTTCTTATCAAGTAAAATATTTTTATGTAGCGAGTGTGCTAGCTACTATTCTCTTAAATCTGTACACAACTTTTAAAATTTGATTTATTTTACAGAAGGCATATAAAGTTAAAGCACTGTAAAAAGAATCGCAATAAGATCTGCTACATGAAATTAAATGATTTATATGTGAAAGTGAAGAGCGATAGGGCGCAGTTTCGCTTTAAATAAATAAATAAATGGAAAATGAATGAATAAACAAGCAAATGCGTAAATTGAATTTATATTCGTACGTTACAGCTCGGGCAATATCGATAAACAATCTTGTTTATTTTATTCGTAATAAATATCTCGATATATACAAATACATACCGAGAGTGGATGAATTTACTAATATAATAAGCGATTAATTAGGTAATTAAAAATTCATGCAAACACGTGTGCGCACACTGAAATATTACGCGTCATTTAATTGCTGATCGTTTAATAATTAGTGGCTAAATAATAGTCTTTACCCAATTGATTTCATTGAATATCGTTATAAACAAATTATCATAAACAAATCCATCGGCTGTTTATTACATAAGATATGTACAATTAAGCGATTTGCAAACCCATCGTAAATTAAAAGTAACGTCTCCTTTCGGACGGAATGCATATTGAATCGCAGCAGCAGCAACAGCTCCGTCAAACGTTGGAATGAGACGACAGTAGACGCGAAATTTTCTCGGACACTTCCTTAAAGATTTAATGCGTTGAATCATCGATTAAAGGGCTTCTCGCGCTCGCCGGAAGGACGACGCGTCGCTTACATTATATCAAGTGAAATGTCGCTACGTACGAGTAGAAACCTCGGGTGGAAAATCTATTGTTCATCGACAGGTGCTGACAGAAAAACTTTTTCAAGTTCCTCTCTAATAAAATGTATGGCTAAAGAGGAGGAATAGACTAGTATCGCGTACCACAATACCACAATGTGCTTTTCTCATTTTTCATTTTTGCTCCGTCACTTGATTTGACACTTACCATCTAGAATTTGACATAAAGCAATATGATTTACACGTATTTCATTGTGTATGATGATGCAAGGATTAGTATTTCAAAATATTTGCCTTCGTGTTTTTATCAGACATAAAAACAAGTAAGATAATAATGAGTTATATTTTGTATTAAACAAAACATATTTCATTACCTTCCTAATTGCTTGTATACGAAACTTGAAATTGATAATGCACCAATTTGTTTATTATATATATATATATATATATATATATATATATTAATGTTTTTTACTCGTGCGTATTTAAAGATATAAACGGGACTTAAAAAAAAAAAGCTTGTATCGCAATCATAAATATAGTAAAAATTGAAACAAAATTAGCCATATATTATGCATGCTTTGATAAAATATTTATAAATTCTTTGCTTCTTTTATTCATTTCATTGGTAATTACACAATTGTTATCATTATAAATTTATTGACTTTTTAAACTTTCATATGATTACATTATGCCAAAGAGAATGCATAATGTAAAGTGTAATCGTCATCATATGCCTACAGTAAAGATTATTTAAACTTAATAAATTACCCGTCAAGGAGCTGTTTATAAATTTCCACTTCGATGTATCTATATATATATATATATATATATATATATATTTTTTTTTTTTTTTTAATTATATATTCAATGTATAATAAAATATGTTTCTATATATTTTATATATTAAGAAATTTATTTATTATTTAGAAACGAATAAAAGAATATTCTACCTTGCTAAATTACATATTTATGATGCTTACTTATAAAAATATTTATTGCATATTTTAATTAAAAATACTTATGCCAAACGTATTGAGTTGTTTATTATATAGTAATTTATTGATAAAAAAAAACTAAATATTTTTTAAATTTACATATAGGATACTGCCTTTAATTTCATAAAGCAAATACCGATAATTATTATTTGTTTCAAAATTCATGTATTAATATTATTATAATACGTAATGTTATAATTAACAATAAATATAGCTTTGCGATAAATGTAATTATAAATATAATTTTAGTTGACGTAGTATTTATATTAAGTAATAATAGTCTTTCACATGTGCATGTATATATATGGCTTGAAGTTAATATTAACTATTTATATGCAATTGTAATATTTCTCCTTACATCTCTTGAAAAATAAGATTTTTATTTAAATTTTTTTTTTTTTTTTTTTTTTTTTCACGGGCATTACAATGAATAATAATGTTTCCTTAGTTTTAATCGATGTGTTATTGAGTTCTTCTCTTATATAAAAAAATAAAACGAGTTAAATATTTGTTACCCATGTATGTCATCTAATTTTTCATTTTTATAATATTTTGTAATAAACATAGTACACTTTGAATTGTATAATATAAATTCAAAGGAGAACTTGATGTAATTAACTATTCAATATAGAATATGTTAAAGCAAGAATTATCTACGTGAGTTAAAATTTTCCATATAATAATCTATAGTAAAATTGCTAATGCTTTTTCAAACATCTTTTTTCTTTTAAGCCTTTAAATTTAATAGACTGATTGTAATAAATTGTGTGTTAAAATATTTCAAAATACTCGCGGACTAATTAGCTCGAGTATGGGTACATCCATTGCGTATTAATATATCTTTATAAGTTAATGCTAATCCCAATGAATTTATAGATAATTGCTTAAAGGGAAGTCTATTTTTTGTATGACTTTTGTATTATGGTTGTCATTTTTATAAATATACTCGATACATAATTTATAATAAAATAGAAACTCGAGAAATACTGTCAAGAATTATTCTTAAATAGAGTTAGTAGATAATTATTAATGACAATAATACGATTCGGCTATAATTTCTAATATGAAAGTGCCACCGATCCCTTCTGTAAATGTCGATAGAAATCTCTCGATTATCGAGATAAAAATGTTCTGCCACCGAACACGTGAACAAGTTAACACCCGATTGTATCTAAGAGAAGGGACGTGCGATTAGATGAGAGTCGGAGGGTTGCAGTTGTGCAGGCGCGCTTTAAAGACTCGCGCGTCGATGGGAGAAAGAGCGACGGTCTGATCCGTCGGCGACGGTGTTGTCCGTGGGTGCCCGAAAGGTGCGCGAGTGTCAAGGGATTCTTTGAAGATGGCTGCTGAACTATAACACGTCCGGTTGTCATTGGCACGCTGCCATCTTATCGCGATACTGGGCCACCGCCGCACTCGGCGATGCTTATTTAACATTCCCATTCTATCGGGAAGTCCCGGAGTTCGCTTCCCCTCGTTACGTGCTCCTACACGCAACGAGGAAAATAATTAAGACCGCGGCAAGCGGGATCGGAGATTTTGCGAATTGGCAAATTGCGCGAGAAGAGTCAAAGTTCCCCGATTGGCGACACACTTCATTAACGATCAATGTTATTCGACGCTTTGGCTCGTGCTTTATTCTGTCCCATATACTTACTCGGCTGATAATTAATTCCACGTGTCTGTGATTTAACAGATCTCGAGTTTAAATTATCGATAGGATATTTGTGTGTTTTTTTGATAATCGTATAAAACTCGTAAGAGCCGAATTTGAATTAGAAATGTATCATTAGATTGGAATTTTTAAAAGCTTATTAAATTAAATCGCTATTGTATAAATTAATTTCTTTAAAGTTTAACACACCTTATGAAACAAGCACTATTGGAGCTAAACGAACGACTATTCGTAGACTTTTAAGATTAACAATATAGAGAGGATATAACTCGCGATGTATAAGGACATGTTATCATGATCTAATTTTTTTACTGAAAAATTAGGTTAAATTCTAAATCAAAAGTAATATATTATTGCTATAGGATTATGAAAAATCGTTCAAATCTGAAATCAAATAATGTCCTTAGTCCAAAAATATAATCAATACTTTTGCGGCAACACAAAGAAGCTTTTGCGAATGAAAGTGAACAATACGGTGAGCCCGTAGATACGCAGTGACGTCCAATATCGCATTTCGATTTCAATTAAAAAAACTTTCATCAATCAGGGATAAATGTGCAGTAGCGAGCGAGAAAAGCGTGATAAAAGTAGAAACTCCGTGTGGTATTTTTGTTTTCCCATATAAAATGATCTATACATCTATATGCGCATATTCGTGAGTGAGTGCGTGCGTGAGTGGGGTGTGTGTGTGTGTGGGTGTGCGTGCGTGTGTGTGTGACGATCGAGGAAGAGGAAGAGCATTGTGTTGTGCGTCAGTAGTGGCCAGTGTGGCCCCAAGAACACAAAAAGTGTAAGAGAGAGAGAGAGAGAGAGAGAAAGAGGACTGCAAGATTAAAGTTGAGTGGAGCAACTCGGCGGCCAGACCGTTTTATCGCATGCAATAGCGAGGCGGAGAGAGGAGCGAGGGGTTCGAGTAAAGAAACAATATTTCCCGCCCAGTCTGTCTGATCCATTGGTGATAAGTCGTTGGCGGGTCGGGCAACCTGTACTCCTCGGCTTTGTCAAACAGTCGAGATTGATGAAGCTCCGGTCAAGAGCTTGCGAGAGACGTTTAATAGACAAATCGATGTATTAGGCCTCGTCGACAAGCCAAATATTACGCGACGGACACCTGTACTCGTGCGAGCATGGAAAATGAAAAACGAGGCCTGAATAATCGCCCGGTTATTCGCAATTGAAAGCGCAAGTTCAGGGCTCGAAGCTAGGCGCCGTCTCCTTTGTCACCGAGCGTATTTCTTTGCATTGCCAAGGAGATGTCAGATTCTACGTCGTCGTCGGCAATTCCATTTTAATATCATGAATATTTCCGACAACAAGTTCCTTGAACTCAGCGCGAGCGCGTTCTCGCTCATTCTCTGTTTTTCGTCGCGGGCGGTTAACTGGCGCGATTGCATTTTCGATTATCTCTCTTTCACCCTCCCCACCTGCCCGCCCCTCTACTCCTTACCTATTTTGCCCTAAGAATATCGACTTCGGCTGAGCCAAAAAGTCATCTACCTCTCTTGACGCGCACTCACTTCTTGAATAAATTGCGTTCATGAATTTATCAGGCATAGACAGCGACGTTGATGACGAGACTTTGTAAGAAAAGGAATATTAATATTAATATTAATATTAATAGCAATTCACTTTTTCGGGAATCGGAATTCGGGATCGAAGTAAGGGGGGCCATTACTTTATGCGAAACCGGTGAAAATTTTGTCTTGCTTATTTAAAGCCATAAATGTTTATAGATAATGTTTGGAGGGCATACAGATTCCGATATAAGCACATGTTTCGACACTTTTACGTGGTCTGTAATCTAATTTTCTTGCAGGGATGCTCGTCACCCTTGGTCGTCAAGTTCGCGGATACGCAGAAGGATAAAGATCAGAAGAGGCTGCAACAGATGCAGGCAAATCTTTGGAATATCGCTGGGGTTAACATGACTCCGCATTATCTCACAACGGTAAGACCAATTATCAACTATCAACGATATAAAATTATTTCATGCACGATTGGGGTTAATTAATGACTCGCAATTAATGTAATATTATTTATTTGTAAAAACACAATCGAAATTTTTTATTCTACCTTTAAAAGCATTAAACATAAAGCAATACAATTGTTCCGATGTATTGAATACATTGAATAATTCAATAGCATTTCAAATCAAATCACCATGATTCACGAAGTATCACGAAGCTATGTATCTGTATTAGTAATCTTATAACTACTCGATACAAATTCAAATCAGACTTATGACATTTAGGCATTACATATTTAAAATGTATCCGTCTTCTTGAATATCAATTATAATGTAATTAATATTATAAATTGATTTTCAATTACATTCAATCATACATGAAAAATCCTTTCAGAATTTGAGTCAAGCTCCTTTAATGCAACGAGATTTAAATTTCATTCTGAAAAATAATCAAAGCAGCAGAGATTCTATGCAAATTACTTTTCTAATATAAAAGTCGATGAATGAAATCTATCGCCATTATTATTTATTAACTTAAATATATAAGAATTGACCACTTGAGTAAAACTTCATTGTGTCGAGCCCCAAAACTAATAGCCATTTGTCTCTTTTTTCTCTCTTCGTTTTCTTTCCTACATTTATTATTGAATAATGTGTGTGGCAATAGTAATTACAACAAAAAAAAAAAAAAAAAAAAAAAAAAAAAAAAAAATAACGATAACTAAAAATCCTCTATTCAAATAATAAACTTTTCCATAATGTTATCTTTTCTTTAATATTATTATTCCAGAATAATAACCTTCTCTTTATGCAGGAACTATGTTATTTTCATCTGCGAGATTATATTGAAGAAAACTAAATCAAGCATCTGTATAATTGCTTTCTCCAAATTTAATATATTATCCTATATAGTTATTCAATATTCCATTTCACTTTAATTTAAATGCAATTACTTTCAATGAACAGGTGGTATTCACGCGAAATTTTCATTTTATTTTACGACTCAGTCAAATTTTAGACACATAAAATATAATAATAATATCGAACATGTGCGATAAATTTTATCGATGATTTATAAAATATAAATATATTTTAAAGTATTGCTTTTCCTTTTTTTTTTTTTTTTTTCCCCTTTTTTTTTTTTTTTTTTTTTTTTTTTTTTCCCCTTTTTTTTTTTCTTTTTTTTTAATAAACTGTAATTCTAAAGTCTTGTTTAATTAAACGATTTGTGAAAAATTAAATTAAATATTTACAATAGGCATAAAAAAAATAGACTTCGCGAAACATTTCGTAGAATATTATTTAAATACACATTTTAAATACACATGCAAATATTTTATAAAACTACGAGATCTTATTAATTGACAAGAAAAATAAAAACATAATTATTAATTCTCCAACAGTAATTCCTATACCTTAATATCAATGCAAATTCATTATAATTTGCGTATCACATTGTGTATAACGTATTAAAAACATTATTATAAACTATTATTTTAACAATTATCCCAATACAAGTCCCAATACAATAATTAAGATATTCATATTTAAAAAGTCATTTTTAATAAATGATTAATGGGATAAATTTAATAAAATGATGTTTAACAGTAGTTTCACATAATGGATAATTATATGATTCTTTATAAATTCGTGCCTTTCCTTCGAGTTTTTTTTTCTTAAAATTGACTTTATTAAAATTGAAGATTTTATTGATTTAATAATAATTTTATATCTACGGTTTTAAAATACTGGGCTTCCTCATTTTATTAGCCAAAATCAAATCAATAATTAAAAGCTATAATGAGCAAAATGTTATATTCTTTATTAATGACGTTTCATCAGCAAACAATTATAATATAATACGTGTATTATTCATAAATCTAATACTCTCATAAATTGGAAACATACTATGTTCAAAAAATGTACTGTATAAAAAAAAAAAAAAAAAAAAAAAAAAAAAAAGCCTATACGCATTGCAAATTATAAATATATCTGAAATATATTCCCAACATTTCGCATACAACTTTTTATTACAACGGAGTATTAACTTTCAATAACAATAACAATACTATTGGAATTTATTAAAAAAGTAAAAGAAAAAAGCACAATGTACGAATATAAACAATTAATAAAATAATGATTAACTTAGAAAAAAAACATGCACTGAATTTTATTGAACAGTTTGCAATATAATTTTTATTATACGTACACATGTATTTCATAAATGAGATATTTCAAAAGTATTGATTGATTGTCTTTGGCCATGTGACATTGATATTTATATACACTCCGTATTGTGTATAAATTTTATTCTCTAGTAAATTATTATTATCAATGTTAAAATATTTTATAACCGAATAGGTTTTCTTGTTCTTCAATCGTTACGAATACTTTGTATTTTCATAATATTATTTTGTCATATTTGTATGTCAGTGTACTTTAATGTTCGTATTGTGAATTGCTTTCCTTATATCGCTAAAGAAATACTATTTTTTCGATTTCGAATTAAAAAATGTAGCGAACGATTGCATATCTATTGATTGCAAATAAAATTAACAGCTATTGAAATTTTTAATCACGATCCATTATATTCATTAAACCTTTCGCCCTCATTTTTTTTTTTTTTTTTTTCTTTTTTTTTTATCATTTCCCGTTATTTTTAAAGTTTCCCGTTAATTATAATAATTCAAGTTTTTTTTTTAATAACTGGCAATTATTAGAACTACAACTTAGTATATTTTTAATATACAAGAGTCAGGAATTGTTACGCATCCAACAGAATTTTCTTTTGATTTTAAATGAGAAATTTACATTTTAGTCACAACGCGTACTCCAAATAATACTTTTTTTAACATATTTTTGCATACAAATGCTCGATAATGCCGAGAAGAAAAAAATAGCGTAATTTCATCATTTTCACAAATACATCATATCAAAATTACTAATAAGAATAAAAATAATGAAATGTAGAAGAGCAAAAGGAAGAATATTATGGTGAATAAACGTCGTCAACGACAATAATAATTGTGTACATACGTACCATATATATGGAAAGGATTTCATACACAAAGAATAATATACAAAGAATAATACACAAACAATGTAAAAAACTTAAATCTAGTCAATAAACGAACCAAACTTACATGCTTTCGTAATCGTTATATCAAAGGGGCTTTTATCCCCCCCCCCCAACAGCGGACCCACGTTCAATCAATCAGCCTATTTAGCAAAAGTATTTCGCAAAGGTACCATTGTCGCAACTATAATTCGTGCTCCGGCGATTAATACCAACACAATAGCCTCGATAAAAATATGCTTTTGCCCGCAGAACGAGACGCCACCGGCGATCGCTCCAGCGGCGACGTCCCTCCAGCTCCTCCAGCAGCTCCAAGCAACCTCGGGCGCTGCGACGCCCGTCGCCGCCAACCCCGCACCGACCGCCCTCACGAGCGTCCAGCACCAGCTGCTGTTACAGCAGCATCTCGGGCTCAGCGCCGTGGCCCCGACGCCGACGCAAGCCGCGGCCGTACCCACGGCCCCCGAGATCAACCCCGCGAATCTCCAGGGACTCGCGACCCTCGCCTCCCTCAGCAGCACCACCGGTGAGTATGGTCAGTATCCCAACAGCGTCTCGCAATTATCTTTACTTTACCTCCCAGTCATGCTCACGCTGTCTCTCTCAGTCTCTCTCAGTCTCTCTCTCTCTCTCTCTCTCTCTCTCTCTCTCGCCCTTTCGCTCTTTCGCTCACTCGATCTCGGTCGAAGCTGCGGAAGCCACTCCGATAGGCTCTCAAACGTTCATCAAGCCCTTGCCTATCTTTGTCTTTTGCCCCATGCCAGTCATCCCCCCCCCTTCATCGGGTGACGACGCCCACGTCTAAGGCAGCTCAAGCGATGTCGAAGCCGCTTTTAATAAAAAAACTCGGGACTGACGGATGCGCTTTTTCCTCCCGGTAATTCTACAACTAATGCCACGAGGGATGATAATTTTTTTTTTCTTTTAATATATATATATACTGGTTAGAGAGCGAGAGAAAGAGAGAGAGAGAGAGAGAGAGAGAGAGAGATAATGGCAGGCTTCTGTCATTATAATACCAGCTCTTAACTCATTCGCGACTCTTGAATAATTTTTAAACAAAAATCGTGCCCTTTATGCCTCAGCTATTCGTCAAACAATGATAATGATAATAATAATAATAATAATAATAATAATAATAATAACAATAATAATAATACAGCTGTGTGATACATTTTGACGCCAGGCTTTCATACATTTTCCGTATTTTTTAATCTCGACAATGTTAACGCCGTTGTAAACGGAGAATTAAATAAAGCACCATGTAATGCCAGCACACCTTGCCAACGAATCATCCTAATAATACTAATTCATACGCTTTATCTTTATAAAATTATAGTTGCTCTCGTTAACAATTAGATATAATGCACTATGCACTATGCACCATGCATCATAATTGATTTTAATTGAACATTAATAAATATTACTGAATGTTGTACTTATAAAATGAATTGACGCTACTAGCCCTCAACTTTTTTCTGACGTCGCTGACAACATAATTTTACTATAATACGTATCAAGTAGATAATTATCTCAATTAATGTTCCGCCGACCGAATAAAGCCGCAAATCTATAACTAAAACGATGAAGAAGAAGGATTTTTATAAAAATTTCTGTTATTTACGTGTCTACTTTATAATTTTTATTATGATATGGGCATTGATTTAATCAGAAAACACTGTATCGTAATAGTTTATTAGGATAATATTGTATTTTGGAAGAAAGTATGTCGTTGCTTTTCGCTCTGAGATTGTGAGAAAATTTTAATTATTGTAAAAATAACGAAGGGAAGGATTTTACGACGGCATTTCACTTTTTTCGCTTCGATAATTTTCTCATCTTGATAAATAAACTGTAACAAGTAATCAATAAGATAATTTAATTTCAAAACCTTTTACATATAAATCATAATTTGATGATTATTAACAAAAGCATCTTTTATCTTCTTCCCTTCTGCCTGTATAAAGATAATTAAAATTGTAATGTGTAATAAATTTCACGCAACATTTTACAGAAAATATAATTATAATAATGGGTATTCGTAATCAACATTGATCCGGAATAAAAACTGTATTATATTGTTATTCTAGTTAGCATTTAAATAATTGTTTATCCAATAAAGTTGATTTTTTTTATAAAATGAGAAACTTAATAGACAAATAAATTATTCGTTATTTAAGATTTTAAATTATTGCAGCTTGTTTACAATATCAGTATTACTTATGTAAAAGAAAAGCTAATTGTACTGATCACAATCGTTCGACAAAGTCTATTTAATTCGAAACTTAATCTAGTTTACGCTAATTGTACATGAGTTTATTTTTTATATGAATAGATTAATGAGGAATTTGAAAGTAGAACTACAGATACATATCTTATAGACTGTTTCTCTCTCTCTCTCACACACACACACACACACACACACACACACACACACACACACACACAAAAATTAAACCGTATGAGTAAAGTAATTCTTCTGCATTTCCTTTGGTAAAACAAAACAAAACAAAACAAAACAAAACAAAACAAAAAACAAAAAATAAAACTAAAAGTAGAAGAAGGAATTCAGAGTCACGGATAAACTATTCATGTTGCAAATTGTATAATATTCATCGTATCGAATGTCAATCAAGCACAATCACAATGCTCATTAGAGAAAAATACTTTATGTGGCTCAATTGCTTGAACTTTGTTCTCATTATAATATAAACGTTAATGCTCGTGTAAAACTATCAGCAGTTTTGAGAATTGTTTCTATGAAAAAAAAAAAAAAAGGAAAGAAAGGAATCTAAAATTTAAATATAGGACAATTATATGTATGACATTGATGATAATACATTAATGATATATTGGTGAAATCTCTTTAAAGCCGATTGTTATTTCTTTGTTAGTGATATTATATAATTTTAAACTCATTGAACTATAGTCATTACTATTTTTCAATCATTCTAATTATTTGTATTTCATGAAATAATGACGTGAATATTAATTTAACTCGATGTGTATAATACATAAAATATTATTCCATATAATATTAAATGCCAGATTAATTTTCATATGATATGTTTATAGTATGACTTGTCATTTTTCAATTCTTTTAAACTGATTTGTTATTCAAAAGTTTTGTCTTTATACTGAAGTAGTATTTATTAATTTATTAATAATTATAAATTCGATGACTAATTTGAATCTTAATTGGTCTGTATAATTTCAGCAAATGCGGGTGTATCGCCTATAAGTATGCAGAACCTCGTCACGCTCGCAGCCATGACGGGTGGAACTAATAATCTTCAAGTATCTCCAAACAGTAAGTACAGTGGAGAATAAAAAGTACCGTTTTTGGGTTTTATTTTATTTATTTATTTATTTTTGTTGTTGTTTTTTTTTTGTTTTTTTTTTTTGTTTTTGTTTTTTTTTTGTTTTTTTTTTTTATTTTATTTTTGTTTCTTTTTATACTGTAAACATAAATAAAATGCGACCACTAAAAGTGACAACAATACTCACAGATTTATCGTTGTTTATGTTTTAAAATGATGAACCATTATTCTCTACTAACAAAACAAAATTGTGTAAAGCTAAAAGAAGAAAAAATAAAGAGAAAAAAATGTATGTAATTGACAGCATGTTCATATATATTTTAAAAATTTTATACACATAGTGGTACTTGTATCTAATAAAAAATATTTTAAGCATTAATTCATCTGTTCAATTTACTAATCTTCTCTTTCGCATATAATAAATAATTCAAGTGACATGGTATAAAAATTGAATCAACTAGATTTGCACTAGAGAGGGTCTTTAAAATTTTTATTTTATCCTCATAATAGCACAATGCATTAATAAAGCAAAACAAATGTGTGTTCTAGCGCTAAGCGGATTGGCCAACTCGACAGCAGGTATGTCACTATGTACGTGTCATATTGCCTGGTATAGTATTAACCATTAATAAATTAGACTTTAAATAATCGACCACCCCCGCCCGGCCCTAATTAATTTTTATACTTTCTGGCTTACTTACGATCGTTAATAGCCGTAAGGAAAAAATCGGCTTCCAATTTAAATAGTAATAGTGGATTAACTTTGTGCTCGCGAGTTTCAAACTCTAGAGGCTTAAATGAGCTATTAATGACAAGTCGTTTGACACTTTTAAGGAGCCTCATGTATTTATTCAATAAGCATCCGCAGATATACACATTTAACGAAAACTTTTTTTTCTTTTTGTTGACCGTCACGTCATAGCTGCCCTGCTCGGAAAGTCAGGAAATACAGGTGAGATCGCTGTAAAAGACATCTCAAGTTGTGTAGTTAATCTGTAATATTATTCGTATAGTCATGCTACTGTTCATTTTCTCTTTACTTTTATCATAATTATTATAAGTGAATTTGGTTTGGTAATAAATTCTATGGTTAAAATGCTGTAGAGACCTACAAGAAATTAGGCTGCCTGCATTATGAAGATCGAGCGTTTTCATTTTTGACGTGGAGTTGAAATTTTTGCTCGTCAAGTTTTTTCGTTAAATATCCTTTTAATTTGTTTTTATTCCTATGTTGTGTAAATTTTAACCACGCACTAATCGATATATACCATTAGCAGTCGATAATGACGCTTGCACTTACTATCTTAATGGATTTTTTTTTGTTTTTTTTTTTTTTGTTTGTTTGTTTGTTTTTTTTTTTTTTTACATTATGTACATTACTCGTCTGTAACTTGATGAAGTTGTTGAAGAGCATGTGACATTGAGCGCAACCTTTATTTTTTTCTATTGCAGCTTTCCCGTATTGATTGTGCATAATTTGTCAAAGCGCTTATAATAATGGTACTCTTGCAATTTAAATTACATCATGCGTTTCTGGTGTATTGTTTGTATAAAATACGATGACTGTGAGTATACATAGAAGTATTTCTAATAAATGTTAAGAACTTCCGTTCGTTAAGAACTGTGTGCGCAGAGCCACTCAAATGCCAACGAGCATTAATGAATCACGCGTAAAAGAGATGCAAGATGCAAGATGTAAGATCTCGATCGATTAAAGCTAAATTACCGATGAATGAATTGTCGTGTAGAGCTTCGTTGCAATTGGTTCAAGGCCAACATTGTGCCCACTGGACTGCTTTCGCTGCAGTTTGTAACAATTGCATTTAGTTTGCAGTTCAAGCCCCCAAGTGTTACGTCACTACAAGATAATGCGCTACTGCATTTATTAAGGAAAAATCGATCGATGCGAAGATTGTAAAATCATTTTCATAACTCGTGCTTATGATAAAAATTTTGTCGAGCTTTGCCATAGACGTTCGATGGTTAAATTATGTTGGAGCTCCGAAGAGAAAACTCGACACAAGCGCAATAGAAGCTTTTTTACATTTTACGGAAAGTTTTTATGTATACTCATTGGCATTCCTTTATGCCATTCGTTCTACAGACTAATCCTTTATTATTTTTTCTGATACTGACTCTCCTATGATTGAAGTAAAGAATGAACCAACTCATAAATTACGATTAATTATAATATAAGAACTAAGACGAGCTTATTAAGACACGCAATGGTATGGCGCATGAAGTGTTGGCAGAGTCACTATCTGTAATTGCAACTATAGTCGGAGTGGCAATTCGCAATTCTGTATATATTTTGAAGATCTCTTACCTACGAGCGATAGCTCGCTTATGACGGAAAATGTAAATTTTCATGAACGCTGTTTCAGGGTCGACCGGCGGCAGCTTGAGTCCCGTTACATCATTGGCGCTCAACTCCTTGACGGGGGCGCCCTTGAGCGGACTTCAAGAATCACTTAGTAACGCATACTCGAGCTTGCAGCAATATGCAGGTACTTATCCGTGCACGCATGCGCCCGACGACGATTCGTCTGCGTGCATATACTTGAGCGCCCGCGCGCGCGGGTCCATATCTAATTTCTCAAGTTGCGCTTTTAGGGGACAGAATTAGTTAGCATGCATGCTTAATATAATTAAATTAAAATCTTCTAACATCAAAATATCTGTCAAAATTCAAAGCTCTCATTGGAAAAACTACTGTCACTGTGGAAAAGAAAGAATTGCACAGTAAGTAAATTGACTTGGAATAAGCTTACACAATGATTGAACGAACGCCTCCTTACATTTTTCACGTTGCATTCCTCCATTATTCATCTATATCTATCATTAAGATACTTGATTTTATTTTTAATCAACGTATTAGGAAAATTATCATTAGGTTGTGCATTTTCTATTAAATTGCCTAGGTCGACGTATTGCGATTAAGTAAGAAAATATTTTGAAATTGCCCGAGAGCAAAGCTAATTAGTCATTTAAGCTTATGTAAGATAAATATTGTTGAACTAGAGAGATATTGGACTACTACATTCGTATATCCAATTAATTGTTAATGCCATGTGTTAATTTACATCAATTGCCATCCTTCGCAAAATGACATAACTCTTGATAAATAATCATATTTATTATATTATTGGGAAATTTAATGTCAAGTAATTGATTATTAATGCGCGTGGGAAGTGGTATTGAAAAACTTTATTTATCTTCGATTGTCGAGCGCTCATGTAAAAAATAATAACCATATTATCAATAAATCCGTAATGTAAACTCATCGTAAGAAAAACATATTTTTCAACAATAATAGTCTATTAATAATTAAGTAAATCCTTAACGGTAGTATTTATAAATAGGAGCTAATTAATGAACACTTTTTATTGACATGCATATTTTCAAAAATATTCAAAAATAATTGAAAAGTATTATTTTTATTATCAAATTTATGTACAATATCTATAATAATATAAAGATAGATAATATAGATAATAAACTAAATATCCAATTGCACCAATTGTTACTTGCATGTTTGTAAATATTATTGAAATATGCGTAAAATTGTCGATTGAAGTGCAGTGATTTTCTTTTTTTTATTATCTAGTTTAATGTCGTATTTATACAAATGATTTTTAAAAGAAATCTTTTCACTGATTTTTTTTCTAGGATTTCCGGCTTTTTCGACAACGGCAACCACGGCACCAGTACAAACTACGCCGACCTTTAATGATTTTCGATTACTATCGAAGCAAATCGAGGGTCCTGAGGGTAGTAACCTCTTTATTTACCATCTGCCGCACACCTACACGGATACAGATCTTGTTACTATGTTCATGCCCTTCGGCAACGTTCTCTCGGCCAAGGTTTTTATCGACAAAGAGACGAAAAAGAGCAAATGCTTTGGTAGGTGAACTTGTGTTCGTCCATGTTGCGTCAACTGCACTCGAGATCCCGCGACAAAACTTTACAAATCAATTGAAAACTAGATTTTGAATTTAATGAGACAATGCATTTTATTAATCCCATATAAGCTTGAATAAATAAATTTTTCGAAAGCTACGAATTTATATTAAAAATGCGAGCGAGCAACTCCTGTACGTTAATAATAATACTCTCTTCATAACATAATATAGGCAAATTATTAGTTTCATATATTATTTTAATAATAAATGTTTAATTCAATTGTTGAAAATATTCCTTCAATTCAAAACTGTTGATGTTTTTTTATTATTTCTCGAGCTAGAAAATAATTGAAGGAAATGTAAAATTTTGTCAAAAATTCTGTCTATAATTGAAAACTCCTCTCCTCTCTCTCCTCCCCCCCCCCAACCCTTGACAATGAGACACATTATAGAATATAGAAGAATACACTTTGATATTCTCAAATTCAAGTTAAAATGCGAGTAACTGCGCACATCCATCTTCCTTATCATTTTATTGGAAATATTAGTTCGTTATAACTTTTAATGACTAAACTTTTTGCATTTTTAATAACAAGGCAACATGTACGAGTAGTAAAATTTTTAATGATTTATTCAGCCTTTTTTTTCACCCTTTTTCTTTTTCTTTATCTTTGTGTCTGCAGTGATAGATTTAGCTATTATTTACTTATTATATTAATTATTGTAAACTAGAAAATGCTTTTACCTTTTTATTGATTATTATTAACGAGACTATACTTTTTTGCCAGGTTTTGTATCATATGACAAGTCATCAAGTGCTCAGAAGGCGATTCAAATGATGCACGGCTTCCAAATTGGCACGAAGCGATTGAAAGTTCAACTAAAGAAATCGAAGGATGCATCCAAGCCTTACTAGCCCAACATCGATGATTTCCCCAATTGTAGGTAGATACTTTAAAACAAAACAACAACAAAAAAAAAAAACAAAAAAACAATCGAAAACCAAAAAAAAAAAAAAATACAAAAAAAACAACAAAAAAACGGACATTATCGAAAACGAGGCTCATGTTCAAGTTCTAGAAATACAAATATTGCTTGAATACATTGTTAGGACGTTTATGCATCGTCCTGAAGTTTCATGTATTCAAGCATACAAAATCAATGGAGGTCGCTCTTTAGTCGAGCGTTAAGTATTATTAGAAAACAGTATTTTACTCTTTTTTTTTTCTTTTTTTTTTCTCATAAAGATGACCAATGACGCTCCTTCTCTCGCAACTAGTCAGAGTTTCAGTTATTTTAATATATCGATAAGAAGTATCGCGGTATTAAATTCGTTGCTTCTAGTTCCTTGTAGCTGAAAGGCCAAACTTTTGTTTGTAGTCAACAAAACCTATTATATAATAATAAGCACAACTGTGATATTCTCTGATTTCGATATTTTGTGATTTTTTTCCACAACTAAGCAAACTTGTACAAATGCGTTCTGTTTATTTTTTATTATTATTTATTTATTTATTTATTTATTTATTTATTTATTTATTTATTTATTCATTCATTCATTCATTTTAATATCTTTAACTGAGAATTTACGTATTTCGTTGCATTTACGTATTACAAGGATATTTATCGGTAATTGGAGATGAGATTACGTATTAATTATTATGAAGAGTGTAAAGGAAACGTAGCGTGTAGATAAGACGAAGATTCTCTCGTTTCCAAGTGGCATTAGTCAATGAGAGAAAGTTATTTGTGTTTCGCGTGGTGATGTGACGATACACTTGTTATTCTTGGACAATGAAATAATCTTTATTTTGATGCCTGTCTATACAATTGGTTTAATCGATTCTTCAGCTATAGTCGCGCGAATATTTTTTATTTCTCCAGCACTATATCATCTATAGGCTTGATGAAACAAAATCCTTTCACATTGAGTAAAATGTACTGTATCTACAGTAGTTCAAAAGCCTGCGTAAACGCATCTATCCATAGCCCAGCAATGATAAAAAGGTTTATCTCGAGATTGGTACCTTTATTCCCATTTTTTTTCTTCATGTTTTTCTTCTTATATATATATATATATATATATATATATATATATATTCTCAGCGGGCTTTCTTCTTGTTTGTTTTTTTCGTCATTCCCGTTGAATTGTCCAGTAGCAATAACTTCATTCATACATAATAATAAATTCGATTGCCTGCCACAATGAGCTAGAAAAATATAGGCTTGCCAAGGCCATATCAGTATGTATGCAACACGGCATCGCCGCCTGTCATTGACAGGTGACTCGTGATCCATATTATTTTTTTTCTCTGTTACCTGCTATCGGCCACGACCCACTATGTACGCATATGACGATCGATCGATTTCTCTCTCCTTTTTTATGTTCAGCCAATTGAAACATTGCTGATTCCAATTGAATTGCCTGGCGTATATTCATTGTGATAAATTTGAAAATCATTGATTATATTTGCAATTTGCTATTTATCGGGAAGTGTCGAAAAACGTAACTAATTTTGCAGGGAAATGCGCTTATTTTTCTTATTTTTTTCTTTTTTTATTCTTATTTTTTTTTCTTCTATTTCTTTTCTTTTTGTAGTTAACACGAGAAGTTTTATGATTAAAAATATATTCCGTATTAACAAGTCATAGGCAGCCGAGCTATCTTGTGATATTCGGTGCGTTAATCAAATAGATGTGGCTTTAACATCTTTCAGCGGCTTCTGTTTTTATTCTTTTTTTTTTCTTTCTTAAATCATTATTTTTTTAAATTTTATTTATTATTATTATTATTATGACGATTAATAAAATCAATAACAATAATAATAATGATAATGATAATAATAATAATAATAATAATAATAATAATTAATAATAATAATAATCGTGCCTCACCCATAAAAGACTGACTTTTTCTATTTTTTAGTGTGATCTCTTTGTAGTCATCTTTTTTGTAATATTGTTTAACATATTATATTTGGCTGATATTATCGTTTGTCTCAAGTCCCGTATAAAGCATCTGGCATTTATATAATTGCAATAAATACCTTGCTGAGCAAACTAATTCTTACTGTTTCATGCTTCTTTATATATTCTGACATTGTCTTGTCGCAAAAGATGGTTTGAAGTAGAACACCGATGTTGTTTAATAGCAATGTGTTACCTTGCGCCAACATGTTGCCTCAAAATGCTTTATTTGTCCAATTTTTTTTTTGAGAGACTGACTATCTTAAAGCATAAGTAATCAAACGAGCCTTAGTACTTTTATTGCTTAAAGTAGGAAGATGCTACTTCAGTCTCCAAAAAACGAAGTTGTTTTTTAACTTTATATTTATATATACACAAAAACCAATCCTTTCAACACGTATGACTTTAATGTTACTAGACTGTGTATTTAAAAAATAGCAATCCAGATGATCCTCGTTAAAGATCGCAAAGACCGTTCGCTTCTCAACAACGATCATTCCTGTTCTAATTTATTATATTTTTGTATTTTATATTTTAACCGTTTCGATTTTATTCGATAATTTTATAATGTACTGCAATTTTTTGTTTGTGTGTATAATTTTGTTTACATGTATAATTTATTGTATATTAATAACCTTATAAAAAAAACAAAAACAAAAACAAAAACAAAAACAAAAAAACAAAAATAAACAAAAACAAAAATTCGAGCAGGATACACCTGTAGGTGCTTTGCGAAGGGAGGATGATGAAATGATTATTTGTTGGCCTTTCCTCCCGATAATAATTTTATAAATATGTGCCGTTTAAAAATAATTTTTTAAATATGCTTATAGTACCAATTCATTACTTTATCGAATACGCCGAGCAAAATTGATTTGTATATGAGGGGGACGCTTTCAGTGACATAACGTTTAAAATGACTTTCAAATGCTTATTATTACTCGAAATGCATAATAATAATTATAATTAGAATGACAATGATAATGATAATGATAATGATAATGACAATGATGATAATAATAATAAGCAATGTTGCAAAAAAATGATAATGTAAAATTAACGTTACGTGTGCATGATGAATTATATTGGTCGTTTACTCTAGAATCTCGAAAGTCGAGCTTTATAAACGAATTTTGTAAACAAGAGCGCGTAAAATTATACGAATAATTACAGAAATTCCCTCAACATCCTCCTTTTCCATGAGTCGCGTGTTACAGACTATTATGCATATAATGCTTGCGTATCAATTTAACGAGGATCTCCGTATGTATTTTATCCAGTGTGGTGGTGACTAACCTGTCCGTGTGTTTGTTTGTGTGCCAGCAGGTGGCCTGTGACGTTGTGACCGTGTACACTCTCGACCGGAGTCGCCGTGCCATGTCTGTCTCTCAGTCGATCGGTTCAGTCACGATCCGATCCTTGATATCTTCACTCTCGGAATTCATACAGACTCCTTTTCTCTCTTTACATTCAATTTTCACACCTTACCCCATTTCTTATTTCAAACTTACTCCTTTATCTTCTCTCTCTCTCTCTCTCTCTCTCTCTTTCTATCTATCTATCTCTCGACCCTTCCTCTCGGCTTCAATTATATCTCTCTACTTATTTAATAAACAATCGATCAATCAATCAATCAATCAATCAGCCTATCTATCTATCTGACCGTCTAACCGTTTATCTATCTACTATCAATCAATTGATCTACCTACCTAACTGTCAATCTGTCTATAAATCTATCTATCTATCTATCTATCTATCTATCTATCTATCTGTCTAATATCCTAACCGAAAATATATACGAGTAAATCCGTATATATGATTCATCCACAACATTCCCATTTCCCTTACATTAAGACGACGTGCAATGAACACGTTACGTCCTTCAGCCGCTCTATTACATGAGCAAACATTTATTCGCTCGTCGGCATCGTTCGTCGTTTTTTTTTACTTTTGTTCGAGTACTATTGCCCTTTTTTTATGCAAGACAACAGTTAATGAAGGACCAACTAGATAACTGTGTACGACAATTAGCATTACGCTTGATCATACTTTTCTAAATTATCTCTCCAAAATTCCTGTAATTCCGTTATCCTTTTTATTCTCATTCTGAACTCTAAACCAACTCCCGACATTATCCAACAATCCAGGCACATGTTATTATCCAAGTTAAAGTTCCGTAGAGGAATATAGAATACGGAATACATCCTGTGGTGGATTATTCACAGAGAAAAAGAGTATAGAACCTTTCAAGCATTTTCAAGGGAGACGATATCAAGAAAGAGAGTGTCGTTACCGAAAATTCGATATATATATATATATATATATATATATTTTTTTTTTTTATTTCTTTCTTTTTCAAGACAAAGAGGCGCCAAACTAATCGAAAAAAATTTTAGATACGCGAGCGTCACACTTTTATATAACTCTGTACATATAATAAATGTATATGTATATGTTTGTACGTGCGTATATATAATGGCGTGAAATTGTCTTGCGAGTGCATCTTTAAATATACTATACAGAAGGAGAGTATGCAGTACCACGTAATCGACGAAATGAATTTGCGAAGATAATTTAACCGTTGATCGAGGGAAGAAGCTATCGTACATATATATCAACGAAAATTTGGTATTGAAATGCATGCGTACTATGTATTACTTTAGACCCGTGAGAACAACTATGGCATGCGCTGCACATTTCAATGATCGTTCGTCTTTCATCATTCGCAATAATAATACAATGATCAGCTCCTTCGAGAAGTATAATATATGTATAACGAGAAAATGAAAAGGCTAAACACGTAAAAAAGAAAACTATATGAAAGATATAAAATAAATAAAAACCAAATTTCTAATTACAGATTTTTGGCGCAATTTAACAATGCAAAGAGACCTTTTTTTTTTAAAGACTTTGTAATAAGAAGATTGTAAAATAATGTGGAGTTTAGAAAAGGTGGATAAAGATAGTGGGCTTAAATGTATTTATGCATGTATATAAATATATATATATATATATATATATATATATATATATATATATATACACACACATGTGTGTATAATTTGCATAAGCATAAAAGGGAATAAAAATTAAAAATTAGTGATATCAAGCACATGTAAAATGCGACTTTATTGATTGATCGTGTGACGTTCATTTATTTTCTCTCTATTTCGCATCCCCACTCGCAGTATTTGCAAATCGTATAAGAATCACGAAAAACGTTGAAAAATCGATTTAGACGCAAGCATATTCTTAGATTGGCTAATCAGTGAAAGATGATTGTTAGATACAATTAGTCCAAAAAAACAAAAAAAAAATCATTTTATAAATTTCTACAATTATTTCTTTTATTTTTATAAACTATATTTTGCTTGTAATACAGAAAAACTTTGTGCTCCTTAGTAAATCAACGAATTTTTTTTCAGATTTTTAATTTTTTTTTTATTTATTTTTTTTTATTTTATTTTTTTTTTTAGCTCACATCAGTAAGGCTAATAACGTGAGTATGAACAAGATAGAGAGAGAAATCCATATAATTATGAGAAATAACGAAACTACATAAGAATGTCTCTCATATTTCGAATATTTATTTTAAATATTTTATATATAATCTTAATTAATAGCATTCATCATTCGTCTGAATAATCATAGCACTACTGACGTTATATTACCTCGTTTATATTATTTTATTATTGTACAACAAAAATATTGTATTATAGGATTCATTGGCTATTGTCAAATTTCTACAAAAACTTTTGTTACTCTTAAAATCTCGATCCTCGTAAAATCTTCGATTCTTCGATTTTTAAAAACGTTTTTATATCTTAATGTTCAAAAATAATTATCAACACCAATTGAAGAAACGAATGTGCTGATTGATTCTTTTAATGCGAGAAAAAAAGTAATAAGTTTGTATACATGTTTATTACATCAGTAGGCTCTTTTTCTGTTTTTTTTTTTTTTTTTTTTCATCTTTGCCTTACACCTGATTAATTATATTTTTTTATGCAGATATAAAATAACATTTCCACATAAAATGTTAAAAAAATAATAGTGAATTTTAATTGGAATTAAAGGATCTTTTCTACGTTATAAAATGTATATTTCGAGGAAAATACCAAAGACGTGTCTTAATTACTTAATGTACTTACGCAGAGGAAATACATCTAATTTAAGAAAACCAATTTAACAATCACTATACCATGAGCCTAAAACTGATTAATGCAAAAGAAGAAATAAATAATCACAATTCATAGCCTAGTCATAAATAGCTACTTACTTACTGTATTCGCGATTCGTATAGCTGCATTGTATGTTTTTTTTTTATCGTCATCGTTATTTCTGAAATTGTACACAGTTGTATCTCATTTTTCTGTAATATTATTTGCGTTATAATTTCTCTCTCTTTATTGTGGTCACACGTGCGCACGTCTTTATTAAAAAGTTTTTTGTGACTCACCTTTCTCCACTTTAAATTCTTAATGATTGAATTACGGTAATTATCGAGCATTGTTATTATCATCGTCGACTATGCGAGTGTCACGTTGCTGTTACTATTGTTATTAGTCAATATTATTATTATTATTATTATTATTATTATTATTATTATTATTATTATTAATTATTATTATATTGTTATATTTGCTTTGCTAGGCATTAGAAACCTGTAGTTTATGAAATATCTCATCTGTCTATATTACAATTTGATTTACGTTGCTCGGGAAAAAAAAAAAAAAAAAAAAAAAATAGCTTCTTAAGTAACTATTGTTTTATTTTTGTTTTAAGTAAAAGTAACAAAAAGAAAAAAAGAGAGAAAAAAAAACGTAAAAAAAGAAAGAAAGTAATAATAATCAAAGAAAGATTTATATTATTATTATAATTATTTTTTATTACTATTATTACTATTATCATTATTGTCATTATTATAACTATCATCATCACTATCATCATCATCATCATCATCATCATTATTATTATTATTATTATTATTATTATTATTATTATTATTATTATTATTATTATTTTAAACAATCAGGCCAGTTAAGCTTCCTGGGCAATGAGCAAATATCAAGACGATCCGGTCGAAAATCAGGTAAAGAGTGAAAATAGTCGCAAATGTTAAACTAGCTGAAAGCAAATTGCAAATTTGTACTTATGTCGAGAATTCTTGGGCGTACCAAGAAAGTCATAGCTATATAGACGTAATTATACATAGCGGAATTAAGATTTCGTGATAAGCGTTTAATGCGTTTAATCTTTATGTACGTTTTACCAAAGTAAAGTACGTTAATTTTAGCGGTCATTCGGTTACACCGCCATACATGAAGCTTTCCGCTTATTTTGATTTAGCAATAAGTCTTATAGAAAGGAGGAGCGATAGATCGTTGCCCCTTTAAGGAATATCTTGTTCATATGCCAAATAAAAATTGATAAGGGCAACTATTATTATTTTTAATGAGGCGATCAATGCACACTAATGTGACAATTTCCATGTTTATAAAACAAAATAAGCAAATGTATATATATATATATATATATATATATATATA